TTTTGTCTTAAAATTTTCGTACCAGGATAGCAGAAACGCGACAAGGTATTTGACTTTATTTTAAATGTGAATAACTACTAAACGGCACAAGATAGAGGCAAGCGGTAAGGGGCATTTTAAACTATCCGTCCGGCTCTACCTCTATGTGAATTTATGGAATAATTCGATCGTTATTAGCTGAGGAATTAATAAAAAAAGTTAACCCTTATAGCTAGGGAGCAACTGAGTTCACCCCTTAATTCCTCTTGTTTTCTTTTGTATGTACCCCAATTTTCATCAAGATAGGAGACAAAAAAAATTTTTGTCAAAATTTTTTGAAGGCTATATATACCCTTTCGATTTTTTGCAAAAATAAAAAACTGTTTAAATTTGCATACGGACAGAGGGTCACATGTAGATCTCAGAAATACACTCAGTTTTTTTTTAACAGCAATATTAAAAAAGTTGTGGCAAAAATAAAAATTTTCGATATCTCCTCGCGTTTCTACTAACCTGATACAAAGTTCCGAATTCAAAAAGATCCAATTTTGTCTTAAAATTTTCGTACCAGGATAGCAGAAACGCGACAAGGTATTTGACTTTATTTTAAATGTGAATAACTACTAAACGGCGCAAGATAGAGGAAAGCGATCAGGGGCATTTTAAACTATCCGTCCGGCTCTACCTCTACGTGAATTTATGGAATAATTCGATCGTTATTAACTGAGGAATTAATAAAAAAAAGTTAACCCTTATAGCTAGGGAGCAACTGAGTTCACCCCTTAATTCCTCTTGTTTTCTTTTGTATGTACCCCAATTTTCATCAAGATAGGAGACAAAAAAATTTTTTGTCAAAAATTTTTGAAGGCTATACCCTTTCGATTTTTTTGCAAAAATAAAAAACTGTTTAAATTTGCATACGGATAGAGGGTCACATGTAGATCTCAGAAATACACTCAGTTTTTTTTTTAACAGCAATATTAAAAAAGTTGTGGCAAAAATAAAAATTTTCGATATCTCCTCGCGTTTCTATTATCCTGATACAAAGTTCCGAATTCGAAAAGATCCAATTTTGTCTTAAAATTTTCGTACCAGGATAGCAGAAACGCGACAAGGTATTTGACTTTATTTTAAATGTGAATAACTACTAAACGGCACAAGATAGAGGCAAGCGGTAAGGGGCATTTTAAACTATCCGTCCGGCTCTACCTCTATGTGAATTTATGGAATAATTCGATCGTTATTAGCTGAGGAATTAATAAAAAAAAGTTAACCCTTATAGCTGGGGAGCAACTGAGTTCACCCCTTAATTCCTCTTGTTTTCTTTTATATGTACCCCAATTTTCATCAAGATAGGAGACAAAAAAATTTTTTGTCAAAAATTTTTGAAGGCTATACCCTTTCGATTTTTTTGAGAAAATAAAAACAATTTATAATCTGCATACGCATAGAATGCAACCCCTGGAGCTCAAAAATATACTAATTTTTTTTTCTAACAGCAATAATAAAAAAGTTGTGACTCATTTAGAAAAAAGTATCGAAGATGGAAAGAAGCAGACACCTGCCAGGCATTTTAAATTAAATACTGTACCTGTGTGCCAAATTTCATAAAGATCTGAGCAAAAATAAAAAAATTCGATATCTCCTCGCGTTTCTATTATCCTGATACAAAGTTCCGAATTCGAAAAGATCCAATTTTGTCTTAAAATTTTCGTACCAGGATAGCAGAAACGCGACAAGGTATTTGACTTTATTTTAAATGTGAATAACTACTAAACGGCGCAAGATAGAGGCAAGCGGTAAGGGGCATTTTAAACTATCCGTCCGGCTCTATCTCTATGTGAATTTATGGAATAATTCGATCGTTATTAACTGAGGAATTAATAAAATTAACCCTTATAGCTAGGGAGCAACTGAGTTCACCCCTTAATTCCTCTCGTTTTCTTTTATATGTACCCCAATTTTCATCAAGATAGAAGACAAAAAAAATTTTTGTCAAAAATTTTTGAAGGCTATACCCTTTCGATTTTTTTGCAAAAATAAAAAACTGTTTAAATTTGCATACGGATAGAGGGTCACATGTAGATCTCAGAAATACACTCAGTTTTTTTTTTTAACAGCAATATTAACAAAGTTGTGGCAAAAATAAAAATTTTCGATATCTCCTCGCGTTTCTATTATCCTGATACAAAGTTCCGAATTCGAAAAGATCCAATTTTGTCTTAAAATTATCGTACCAGGATAGCAGAAACGCGACAAGGTATTTGACTTTATTTTAAATGTGAATAACTACTAAACGGCGCAAGCTAGAGGCAAGCGGTAAGGGGCATTTTAAACTATCCGTCCGGCTCTACCTCTATGTGAATTTATGGAATAATTCGATCGTTATTAACTGAGGAATTAATAAAAAAAAGTTAACCCTTATAGCTAGGGAGCAACTGAGTTCACCCCTTAATTCCTCTTGTTTTCTTTTATATGTACCCCAATTTTCATCAAGATAGGAGACAAAAAAAATTTTGTCAAAAATTTTTGAAGGCTATACCCTTTCGATTTTTTTGCAAAAATAAAAAACTGTTTAAATTTGCATACGGATAGAGGGTCACATGTAGATCTCAGAAATACACTCAGTTTTTTTTTAACAGCAATATTAACAAAGTTGTGGCAAAAATAAAAATTTTCGATATCTCCTCGCGTTTCTATTATCCTGATACAAAGTTCCGAATTCGAAAAGATCCAATTTTGTCTTAAAATTTTCGTACCAGGATAGCAGAAACGCGACAAGGTATTTGACTTTATTTTAAATGTAAATAACTACTAAACGGCGCAAGATAGAGGCAAGCGGCAAGGGGCATTTTAAACTATCCGTCCGGCTCTACCTCTACGTGAATTTATGGAATAATTCGATCGTTATTAACTGATGAATTAATAAAAAAAAGTTAACCCTTATAGCTAGGGAGCAACTAAGTTCACCCCTTAATTCCTCTTGTTTTCATTTATATGTACCCCAATTTTCATCAAGATAGGGGACAAAATAATTTTTTGTCAAACATTTTTGAAGGCTATACCCTTTCGATTTTTTTGAGAAAATAAAAACAATTTATAATCTGCATACGCATAGAACCCCTGGAGCTCAAAAATATACTAATTTTTTTTTCTAACAGTAATAATAAAAAAGTTGTGACTCATTTAGAAAAAGTATCGAAGATGGAGAGAAGCAGACACCTGCCAGACATTTTAAATTAAATCTTCTCCTCACAGAACTTCCTCCACGATTGCCTTTTAGCCTTTCTTATCTCCTTGTTGTACTGCGTGAGTTTAGCCTTGTTAGGGCACAGTCTTCGGTTGACTTGGCTTTATTAAATAGTCTTCGCACTTCGCCTCTAAAGCGTTCCAAGTGTTTATTCCACCAGACTGTTTTTATTCTTTGCTGCCTTGTTTTCTCCGGACAGCTTTCCTCGTAAGCGGTTATAATAGCCTTACTTACTTGGTCTACTGCTCGGTCAAGGCTTTGTTCATCTGTTATTTTCACCATATCCTCTTTGAGATACTCTCCAAGTGATGTTGAATACCTTTCCCAGTTCGTCTCTTTAGGGTTTCTGTGTTTGGTTGAAATTCGAGGTGGGGTAATTAGATCAAATCAAATCTGTCTGTGGTCTGAGCACGATAGTTCGTCTGACACATGCCACTTTGAAATGTTATCACTTGATTTACTCGAGCACAGAGTCATATCTAGGACTTCTTTTCTCGTTGCCGTGAGGAAAGTTGGTTTGTTACCTATATTAGCAAAAGAGCGAAAAGGAATATTAAAAATGGGAACAAATTAATAAATCGCCTCGTTTTTTGTGAAAATATTTATTAATCGAAAATCTTATGAGAGTATAAAACAATATAATTACAAATAAAGGCTCTTAAGTTTAGTTTAAATAGAAAAATTTTTATTCAAATATTACACATTAGTTTACAATACATATCTAAAAAAAATCATTTTTAAAAATCTAGCGAGATTTCCTAACATAAAACAATAATCATAATAAAAATTCTTTAAAACTTGAAAAATAATTTAAAAAAAAATCATGTGCCATGAGGATCAAAAGGACTAGAAAAGTTATTAGTAACTAAACAAATTGAGACGATCTCAATTCCAAAAAAAAATTATAAGGCACCTTTTTTTATTTACAACGGGGCAAGGGGGAGTATATTACAACAAAAATACATAGCCTAATCACAGATATATGTTAAGATACATTAATAAATTCTAAAGAAATTATAGATGGACAACAAAACAAACCGACCTTTGTAATAAGAAGACTTTCGATAAATATGACAGATCATTTCTACTCCTCGGAAACTTCATATTAGAGAACTGTCATAACTACTTTAAGTTTCAGAACAAAAAATAAAGAGTCAGTTTTACAATGTTATATAGATTGATCGATTATGTTCGAGTAATCGATTATTTTCGATTAAACGATTAGTTTTATTAATCGATGATTTTTATTAATTAGTTTTTTTTGAATAACCGATTATTTTTATTTAATTTTTTTTTATAATTTAATGATTAATCGTTTATTTTTGTTTATTTTCAATTAATCGATTATTTCCAATTAGTCGCTTATTCTCCATTATTTTCGAATAGATTATTTTTATTAATCGACTATTTTTAATAATTAATCGAATATTTTTAATAATTAATCGATTAGTCGGCTACTTTCGAATATTTGATTATTTTTAATAATGAATCGATTAATTGATTATTATCGACTAATCGATTAGTTTAAATTAATCGATTATTTTCGATTAATCGACTATTTTTGATTTTAGATTAATCGACTATTTTCAATTAATCGATTATTTCGGATTAATCGACTATTTTCAATTAATCGATTACTTTTAATAATTAATCGATTAGTCGACTATTTTCGAATGATCGATTATTTACGATTAATCAAATATTTTCGAATAATCGATTATTTTAAACGATTAATCGACTATTTTAGATTATTTTTGATTATTCAATTACTCTCATTTTATAGATAATTTCCGATTAATCGATTATTTTTAGTTATTTAATTTTTCTCAACTTATCGACTATTTTCGATTAATCGATTATTCTCGATTATTTTCGAATAATCGACTATTTTCAAATAATCGATTATTTTCGAATAATCGATTATTTTAGATTAATCGATTTTTTCGAATAATCGATTATTTCCGATTAATCGCTTATTCTCGATTATTTTTAATTAATCAAATATTTTCGAATAGATTATTTTTATTAATCGATTACTTTTAATAATTAATCTATTATTTTCGATTAGTCGACTATTTTCGAATAATCGATAAATCAAATATTTTCGAATAATCGATTATTTTTAATAATTAATCGATTATTTTTAATTAATCAATTATTCTCAATTTATCGATTATTTGCGATTAATCGATTATTCTCGATTAATCGACTATTTTAGATTAATCGATTATTTTTAATTAATCAATTATTCTCCATTTATCGATTATTTTCGAATAACCGACTATTTTCAAATAATCAAATATTCTCGAATAATCGATTATATTCAGTTAATCTATTATTTTGGAATTATAGATTATTATCAAATGATCGATTATTTCCGATTAATCGATTATTTTCGATGATTCGATTATTTTAATTACTCCATTATTGTCGATTAATTATTTTCGATTAATCTATATAGATGAAATATTTTCGGTTAATCGATTATTTTTTATTAATCGATTATTTCCGATTATCGATAATTTTCAAATAAGATTATTTTCGATAAATCGAAAAAAAATTATTAATCGATCATTTATTGAGATTTTCAATTAATCGATTATTTTCGCCATCTTATTTACAAATGGGCGAACTAATCAATCTATATAACTACCTACATCACTGATTTTGTTAGTAAGAAAAGAAGACAAAAACTTCCTCATTACAAGTGACACAAATACATTTTAAAATCAACACCCTGTATAACATGAACGACTAATTTTTTATAAGCTAGTCAACTAATAAAAAAAAATCGGATGGATTAAACAACAAATAACGTCAAAAACCGTAATGGGTATATATTTATGTAGTAGATTTGCAAAATTCTCGTAATATATTCATAAATAAGTTTATTAAAAGTGTATATCAAATATATTAATTAGCACTGTTTAAATATGCAGACTTTTGATTTTCCATCTCTTTTTATTAACCAAATCGTTCCTTAATGATATTCGAATTATTAACGGTGCTAATCTACATGAAAAATTAATGTCGTTCAAAAATGTTCCGTTACAAAAATATTCGTACATCATCAAGGAACACCCTGTATACTTATTAAACACTTGTGTTAGGCAGCCAATCACGATAAACTAAAATAGAGTTCCTGCTCTTTTCCACAGTTTTACCCAAAACAGAGTTCCAGCCTCTTTCTCAACATTCTCCATGGTTTTACCCGAAACAGAGTTTCGATTAATAACGGATCGGCCGACCGATGCGCAAGTGAATCTGAAATTCTTAAATCAAAAACGCCTTTCAACGCTATGCTTTTTACTTGGGTTTCAAAAATATTTTCCGAGCATTCTCTAGTTTAGATATTGATCCGAGTAGTTCTATCTTACAAAACTACAGATTATTAAAGTATTAAAGATCGGTACAAAAAGAAAGAAACAATAAACGAATAATGATTATCAAAAAAGTCCCTTTTCCTTTTTGAGATTGGTTTTCTTCCACGACGGAAGTTTATCGAATTCTTCTTTAGTCATCATCAGGAGTTGTTGGAAATCGTCAGCGGAAAGGTATTTTTCAATGTTTGTCGGATCGACGCCCTCTGGTAGAGGCCTGTGAAGCAGATCGGATAGGGGATAAGTCGTTCTCGATAGAAGAGCCAGTTCTTTCTCCAGCGGTAACATTTCATCGTCTTTCTCGATCTGAAAAAGTATTTATTATTTATTTATGTATACAGAAACTTTTTTTGGAACAGATTGGAACATTAATAACCAAGGTTAAGTGCCAACTGAGCACGTCTCCAGGTGGTGGATGGTAGGACGGCCAGGATTTCTTGGTTAGTGGTAGATATAAGTAGAGTGAGAGAGCCTAAAAACTCTCAAAATCTTTTGCGAAGTCTACCGCCGCGAACCAACTCCCTTGGGGGCACCGGGCGACACCCCCAAGTAACCAGCCTTCTCCTGATAACGCGGGGCTCTGTCAGGAGTGACGAATCTTTCCCTAGCTACTCGCGGGACTTATATGGAAAATAAGGACAACAACAACAAAAAATACAAAAAAAAAACTGGAGCTTTCAGACGAAAGCAGAAGAAGCTCCGACAAAACACTGGCACTAGCGGAGCAGGAGGGACAGGCTGGACCTAGTTCTTCCGGCACAGGGCGGACCACTATGCCAATGAATGCTGGACCAGGGGTACGGGGGCAAGCGTCTCGTCCTTTCTCTACGGAGATAGAACAAAACGCGAGTCCTAGTACCTCAGGGATGGCAAAACAAAAAACATAGCTAAGGCTGTGTCCAGCGAGCAGGAACGAACCGGGGCCCAAAAGAGAAACCGGTCCGATACCAGCACGCCGGAAAAAGGCAAAACTAAAAGGGTTCAGGATCAACTGGTACTACATCTAATGTGGGGCCAGATGGGACCGAGCCGGTAGCATCGTGTTCTTATGCCTCTAAGGTAAGCAAAATTAGGGTAGCTATTGTACCAATAGACTATCCCAATAATTTATTAACAACGGAACAGGAAGACCTAATAAGGACTGCACTGTTCGACATACTCGAAGAACTAGACCAAAGAGGACTTTCACGCAGGTTCTCCGAAGCTAGGATAAGAAACGGGAGTTTAAACCTTTCTTGCGTTGTTCAAGCAACGAAAGATTGGGTTAAGCAGACCGTCAAAAGCATGGTACCTTGGGATGGTGCTAAACTTAAAGTCATAGACTCTAGGGAAGTAATCAAACCCAAGTTTACCATGACATGGATACCGGGACACGCAGTGGAACCGGAAAGAATAATGAAGAGGCTGAGAATCCAGAATTCGGGGCTCCAAACGGGGAACTGGAGGGTTACTGGAAGGAAGTTGGACCCTAGGGGACAGCAACTTTTCATAACCATAGATTCCGTCTCTTGAGAGAAGATAAAGGAGAAGCAGGGAATATTGTTCCTGAATTTCTCTAATATCTCGATAAAAGAAATTGGAGGAACGACGGAACGGGCTACTCCGGCTGCTCCTGAAACTTCTCAGGCAAAAGAAATACCTACTGAGGCAGGAGAAAACATACCAGAGGAGAATCAGTCCTTGGTCGTAGAGCCCCAAGAAAGTGGGGCTACAGAACAAGAGACTGACGCTCCAATGGAAATAGGGGACTTGGAATGAACAGCACGCGAGCTAGGTAAAGACGAGGAGAGGACTCTTTTAGGGGACTCACCGATGTCTGACCCGGTTGACGTGCCGGAGGAGGAAGAGGACCCTACATCAAGAAGTAGGGGGTACCTTAAAAAAAAATGACGGTAATCCAAGCAAATATACATCACTATTGGGCGGCAACAGCTGTCCTACAACGATGTATAATAAAACAAGACATTGATCTTGCTCTAATCCAAGAAGCTCTTATAAACAAAGGGTGAATTAGAGGGTTGCATATATCAGGGGACTATGACATGATTTATTCAGCATCTGGAAACCCAAGAACCTGCATTATTGCAAATAAAAGCTTGAAGGTGTTTCCACTATGGGAATTTTGTACAAATGACCTAGTGACAATATCCCTAAAGCTAGACGGAGGAACTAATCTGATTGTTGGATCCGTATATCTATCATATGACCAACCTAGGAGGTGAGAGAACTGGTAGTCATTGTGAAAAAAACAAAATCGAACTTCTTCTAGGGTGATGCCAATACTCACAATATAGTATGGGGGAGCACTGACATTAATAACCGAGGAGAAGCTCTTCTGGAATTTATTGCTTCCAATAAACTAGAAGTTGCAAACGTTGGAAATGAATTAACCGAACTGGTCTCTTGCAAACTCAATAGTAAACAGAACAAAACTTGTGTGCTAAATGACTCTCTTAGAGATAAGAGGATCGTTATCATGACAGACAGTCAGGCAGCTCTTAAAGCACTGTAGAGGGTAGAAGTACAATCTAAATCAATATTTAATTGCTAACAGTCCCTCCAGGCCCTGGTAGAACATAATAAGGTCACCCTTGAATGGGTGCCAGGACATAAGGGAGTTTGGAAACGAGAAAGTAAACCTCCTAGCAAGGAAGGGAGCGGAAAAAACTCTTGTGTGGTATCTCATACCAACATGTTAAATGGGTGTTAAAGAAACAAATAAAAAGAGAACACCGTAGACTCTGGATGGAACTTCCTGGACTTAAACAGTCCAAAAGATTCATAGAGGGGCCATCCACGAGCAGACAACATCAACTGCTAAACCTTAGCAGAAGCGAACTCAAGGCTGTAATAGGACTCCTTACGGGACACTGCGGCCTTAGAAGACACCTAAATTTCTTAGGGATATCTGATGACTCCCTATGTAGAATATGTGAAGAGGAGGACTAAACTCCACTGTCGGAACCTTAAATGGGAACGGGAATGGTACTTCTGGGTACAATATCCGGAACCTGAAGAAATCGAAGAGCCCATCAGACATATTCTTGAATTCATCAAGAAAATCAATCTGATGGGATAGAAACTGTGAGGGGTACAATAAGCCTAGAACTTCAGTACAAGTGGGCTTTGAACCATGCCCTAATTCAGATAGATAGAAGGTTGGGTTTTTTCACAGATAAATGCTGATTAAAAGTAATTAACAATAGTTCAATTATTGTTAAATGATGAATTAAAACTTTTAGTCCAAAATAGCAGTTTTATACGATATAACGACTGATTTTGAAAAATAAGCAATATTTCAATATCGTAGGTAATTAGGTCTGTCTTTTTTTTTGTGTGTCATCGGCTTCAACTGCTAAGGTTATTTCGCCTCGTGTTCTGTGTAGGCTTTGTTACTGTTTCCCAGCGCCACTTTAGGAACAGCACTGTTAATTAGAACCCAACAGTGAATGGTCGAATGGGGAATCCTACCAAGGCATCAGAATTAATTTTAAATAATTAAATTAAATGAAAAAATTCCGGCCAACGGAAATTGAGGTTAAAATAATTTTAAACGGCACATTTGAGATGAAATATAAAGCGGACACAAAACTTACCTTCTTATTCAACTCCATGATGTCCAATTGATCCTCCCACGCGGGAAACAAATTTTTAAACGCCACCGGTTCCAGTCCGGCCGATACTAGATAAGCGTTTACCCGTTTGTCGCCGTGTTTCCTTCGCCAAAATTCGACGGCCGTTTGCATGGCGGCCTTGCGTTCGGCTTGCCATCGAACCGCCAAAGAACCGGTTTGATCGAGCGACGGATCGTCGTCCGTGTTTTTTTCGGGCGGGAAGCCCATCCACAGCCATAGTTCGTAATTGTTATCAATTAAGAATAGAGCTAAAAAAGGAATAAAAAGTTTTGGTGATATAAATGATAATTTCTGCCGAGGGATTAACATTTTCTATGGTTTTACCAAATATAACGTTTTCCAAAGACAGTTTTAAGTAAATAACAGAATTAATTAAAAAATAAATCATTTTAATAGTTTCTGTATTAAAAAAAAACTCCATACTAACACGTACTACAAAAACAGATACAAATATTTACCTGGTTGACTAGCTGAATAAAGATCGGTCTGCATGAACGGATACGGACTGCAATCTAGACTTCTGTGCGGGCAGAGAATCTCTGTAGCCAGAAATTCGCCTGTGAGATTGCACATCCTAAACAATCTAATAGTATGATCGAACGGCTCTTTCGAATCAAGCAGAGAATGATAACTGTTTCTATCGTTGCCGAGAATATTCAGGAAATCTTCGGTTTCGGAACCTTCTACTATTTCGATGATATTTACATCTTTGTAATATTCCAAATATAAATTATGCGGTTTGTTTTTTATGAAATTATCCACGGCTACTTTTATGCCTTTTCGTTTTACGGGTTTGGATTTGATACCGTGCCAAATGATCACCTGAAAGCAATATAGTTACTATCAGTTTGATAAATTTAATTTGTGGAATATTAATAAAAAACATTGAGATTTGTGCCGAAAACTGTCTCTTCGAAACGTTGGAAAAAATTCATTATAATTTAGAAGGTAATGGGTTAAACAAATGCTATTCATTCATAAATATTTTTATTCACAATTCGAAATGTAGTAATCAATTTATTGCGCAACAAAAAAAAAGCGGTCAAAACTCACTATTTGGAAAAACACTGGAAAATATTAGAAATTATAGAAATTTTTTTCAACCATATGGCAAGGTTTTCAATTTTTTTATTAACAATTATTAAAAAATAAAAATTATACATATAAAGGCACTAAAAATGTTACATAAGTGATACAAAATAAAAAAGTAAAGGTTGTTTAAATCAAAACTATTTTTAATTATGATTAAGTTATGACTTCTGCGTAAGGGTTGATATATCAATAATAAAATTAGGAATTGAGCCGAAAACTTACTCTTTTAAACGTTGAAAAATATTGGGAATAATCGAAACTTTCTCAGCTAGAGTTTAGAAGTAAATAAAATAAAAAAAACAGAACCATATCAAGTTTATCTTGCACTATTATTTGAATAACACCCTGTATAACAAGGTGAAAGTTCAGAAATCAACAAAAACATAAAGCCTACCAAAGATTATTCGTTTATACATTTTTTTAATCAAAATTCTATCTGTAGTCCCCAATTTAACATGCTTAACAAAAAAAATATCGGAGCCGGAACACACTCTTTGGAAAAACATTGGAAAATATAAGAAAATATCGAAAAAAATTTAACTCTACAGCAGGATTAGGGTTAAGGGATTAAATAATTAAGATTTTAACATGAAAAATATGGTACAAATAAAAATTTAAAACGAATCTTACCTGTTTAGAACTCGTATCGAACAACACGAACGACGATCTACTTCTCAACGAACTCATAGCCAAAGACACTTCCATCAAATAAATTTCATTTTCTTTTTCACCGCGCAAAATAAACAATCTAGTTTTCTGTCCGTTAGTATCCCTTTTGCCCTTATTGACTACCATTTTACCGTTGAAAAGTTGTAGAAACGCCGCAGGTTCGAATCCTTGCGCTATCCTGATTTGAGGAGCGTTTTCTTTGTCTAATTCTACCGTTAGCAGAGCCGCTATTCCTTTTTCTTTTACAGAAGAATTACTACCTAAGAAAATAGAAAAAATATTAAATTTGAGTTATAATTGCGGTTACTGTAATAATAACAATTAAAACTAGTTAAATGTAAGACGAAAAGCATTTTGACCCCTGGAATTTTTTGTATCTCCATCTAGTAAACTTTTTCAGTTTTAATTGCTATTATTAAATGTTTTTAAAATTAAAATTGGAGGATGAAGAGGGTTACCTTGCCAGTAAAAGAATATGCATCTGTTACGTCCTACTGCGGCGTGTTTTGAAGGATTTCCATTCAGTTCCCTGCCTCTTACAGTCTGTCTAAAGTCCCAGCGGAATATATAACTGTCGCCATCGTAGAATTGGCCCAACGATTTGTCTGATAATTTTTCGTAACTATGTTCCAAAATTCTCCAACCTGAAAATACCAAATATCTTGAACAAGATTTATGTAAAACGAAAAATTATAGAGGTGCAATGGAAGAAGTACAGTTTCAATCGATAAAAGATGAAGGCGATTGAAGAATAATTGGTATTTGAAGTGATGGTCAGGCCACGACAGGAAAATATAGTAAAGAAGAAATGAAAGTGAGCAAATCAAAATTGCTAGTTGTGCTTGTTACAAATACAAATCATTTTTAAAAGTTAAAATGACCCTGTACAAATTCTAGAGAGGCTATTCGTTTATAAATAATTTTTATCACAACTCTATTTGTATTAATCAATTAAACATGCTTAACTAAAAAAATCGGAGTCAGAACTCAATATTTGGAAAAACATTGGAAAACATTAGAAATTACCGATTTTTTTTCAACTATATAGCAAGGTTTAAATTTATTTACAGTTTTTTAATACCAATTATTATAAATTAAAAATTTCATAAAAGCTACATAAAATAAAATGCCTTCACCAACTAACAAAAGAAAGGTCATTTAAATCAAAACTATTTTTAATTATAATTAGTTCATAGTAACCTGTGTAAGGGTTGAAATATCAATAAAAAATAAAGATTTGACCAAAATTCACTTTTTGAAAAGTTGGAAAATATTGATAGTAATAGAGTTTAGAAGGTAATTGATTAATAAAATTACTTAACAAAAACAGAGATCAAGTTTATCTTGTCCTATTATTTAAATAATACTTTGTACAGCAAGATAACAGTTTAGGGATTAACAAAAACATATAGCTACCAAAAGCTATTCATTTATAAATAATTTTAATCACAATGTATCTGTAATAACCAATTTAATATGCTTAAGTAAAAAAAAAATCGGAGCGATAACTCACTCTTTGGAAAAACATTGGAAAATATTAGAAATTATCGAAATTTTTTCAACTATATGGCATAATTTAAATTTAATTTTAGTTTTTCAATATTTTTATTAACAATTATTAAAAATTACACAATTAAAGATATCAAAAATGTCATGAGGGCTACATGAAATAAAATATCTTCACTAACTAAAAAAGGAAAGTTTATTTCAATCAAACTTTTTTTTAATTATGATTTATAGTAAACTTCCGCGTAAGGGTTGAAATATCAATTAAAAATAAAGATTTAAGCCGAAACTCACTTTTTGGAAAGTTGAAAGATATTGATAATAATCAAGACTTTCTCAACTAGAGCTTAGATGGTAATTGATTAATAAAATCAAATAATAGTCATATAATATCAAGTTTATCTTGTCCTATTATTTAAATATCACTTTGGACAGCAAGATAACAGTTTGGGGATTAACAAAAACATATACCTACCAAATGCTATTCGTTTATAAATAATTTTAATTACAACTTTATCTGTATGTAGTAATCAATTAAAAAAAATCGGAGTCGGAACTCACTTTTTGGAAAAACATTGGAAAATATTAGAAATTATCGATTTTTTTTTTCAACTTTACTAGATCAAAATTTACGTTTTTCATTTTTTTTAATGACAATTATTAAATAATAAAAGTTACACAAATAAATATAATAAAATGTCTTATAAAATACATAAAATAAAATGTCTTCACCAATTAAGAAAGGAACGGTTGTTTAAATCAAAACTATTTTTTATTATGATTAATTTACCTTTATGAAAGGGCTGAAGTATCAATAAAAAATTGAGATCTGAGCCAAAAATTGACAATAATCGAGACTTTTTCAACTAGAGTTTATAATGAAAATGAAAGAAGAATAAAAAAGGCTCACCTGTAACGTCTAAAGTTTCAAAAACGAACAGCCTTCTAGTCTCTTCATCAAAATACTGATCCCCACGTCCCATATGTACATTCTCCACGATCAAATCCGGTTCTTTATCCTTCTCTTTGATCATCTCCTCGACATCGCACGGCTCCACGTCGAACGAAACGTTGTTCCGGCACAAACTCTCGCTGCTCCGCACTCTAATCACTCTACTGAAATCCGGCCAGTCCAAAAACTTCTCTTTGAACAAGATCGTTTCGCGGTGCTGCGTCAATTTGGCGAACAACGCCCATTTCGGTCGGGCGTTCGCGTGTAACGGTAATTTTTCCCGCGACCTGGCGCCTAATACCGAAGCCACGTTCAACGGACACACGTCGCAATCGGAGTAATTGTAGCCTTCGTCCCACATTTCTTTGGCTACCTTCAGAGCGATCTTTTTCCTAACGGGCGATGCGTTTTTGCCGCTCCACACGTACATTTCCGATCCGAAATCAAACACGTATATAGCGGTGTCTTTCAGCATTTCAACTTTGGGTATAGATGCCCAATATTTGTCGCACGGAACCAGTTCGTCTTTATCCAGCGTGTAAATCATATTGGTTAGGAGGATGTTCGATTCGTATGTTTCATCTTCGTCTGGATGTCCCGCTTCAACGGTGTCCGGTACAGTATCAGCGCCTAGAATCTTCCAGAAATCCACAGCTTCTTTTGATGACTTATCCTTGGCGCTAATATTGATAACATTATTCCCTTTACAACCCAAATCTCCAGTCTTTTTCATGTGATTCACGATGTCAGACGTCCTAGACTGCTCTATAACGTTGGACAGAGCGCCGGTGTATATATAAAGAGCCTTCGACGTAACGAGGATGTAATTATCACCTTCATTGATGCTATTGGCTGACGGTTCGACTAGTCTGATTTGGGCGTGACGCCTTCCTTTGACCTGCAGCAGCATCACGTCCTTCCAAGGGACTTGCCCTACGGGACCCGAAGACTTTTTCAAAGCGATGGCTTTGAAGTCTTCGTTACTAGTCAAACCGGCTAAAGCTTCTAGCGCTTTGTCAGAATTTTTCGCCACTGAAAATTAAGGGAGTTTATCGTTATGTTAAAAATATTTGAAGAGACAACATCGATTACGGACAAAAAAAGAATAGGAAATTGTTGAATTAGTAATTGAAAGTCTTAAATCGCTAAATAAATGAAATTCGTTAAAAGATAGTCAAGAAAATAACCAAAACAAATAAAAAAGAAAATAGAAAAAAAAAAAAACAAAACAAAAAATAAGACAGAAAACAAAAAATAAGAGAAGAACCAAAAGAAAACAACAAAAGAAAACGAGAAAAACAAAAGTAAAAAAACAACAAAACCTTCACCAACTAAAAAAGGAAAGGTCATTTAAATCAAAACTATTTTTAATTATGATTAATTAATAGTAACCTCTGTGTAAGGGTTGACAATAAAAAATAAAGATTTGAGCCGAAACTCACTTTTTGAAAAGTTGGAAAATATTGATAGTAATAGAGTTTAGAAGGTGATTGATTAATAAAATCAATTAACAAGAACAGAGATCAAGTTTATCTTGTACTATTATTTGAATAATTCTTTGTACACCAAAACAACAGTTTAGGGATTAACAAAAACATATAGCTACCAAAGGCTATTCGGAGTCGGAACTCACTTTTTGGAAAAACAATGGAAAATATTAGATATCGATTTTTTTTTCAATTTTACAAGGTCAAAGAGACAACATCGATTACTGACAAGAAAGAATAGAAAATTGTTGAATTAGTAATTAAAAGTCTTAAATCACTAAATAAATTAAATTCGTTAAAAAATAGTCAAGAAAATAACCAAAACACCAAAACAAATAAAAAAGAAAACATAAAATCAAGACAGAACATAAAAAATAAGAGAAGAACCAAAAGAACACAAAAAAAACAACAAAAGAAAACGAGAAAAACAAACGAAAAAAAAAGAAAAAATATAATTTCAAGATCTGCTTTAAAAAAAAAAACAAAAAAAAACGAAAATAAATAAAAAGAATAAAAAAGAACAAGTAAAAAACAAAACTAAAACAAAAATAACACAAGAAAAAATAAAAAAAAAAAAACCAAAAATAAAACAAGAAAAAACAAGAAAAAAACAAGAAAAAACAAGACAAAAACAATACAAAAAACATGACCAAAAAACAAGACAAAAAGAAGACAAAAAAACAAGAAAAAAAACAAAAAATAAGAAAAACAAACAAAAAAAATTAAATAAAACATAAGAAAATAAAAAACAAAGTAAAAGAAAACAAGAAACAAATAATTTCAATATTCACACTGCTTTGAATAAAAAACAAAAAAACAGAAATAAATAAAAAGAATATAAAAAAACAAAACAAAAGAACAAAAAAAAAACAAAAGATAATTTCAAGATCCACACTGCTTTAAATAAAAAACAAAGAAAACGAAAAAATAAAAAAAAATAAAAGGAATATAAAAAAAAAATAAAAGGAATATAAAAAACAAAACAAAAATAAAACAAGAAAAAAACAAGACAAAAAAATACAAAAGAACAAAAAAAAACAAAAGAACAAAAAACAAGGAAAAAGCAAAAAAAAAAGATAATTTTAAGATACACACTTCTTTGCATAATTCTAGAATTATTTCATATGTATGATTGATTAGTATTGATTAGTTTATAGTAACCTCTGTGTAAGGGTTGAAATATCAATAAAAATAAAGATTTGAGCCGAAACTCACTTTTTTTTTGAAAAGTTGGAAAATATTGATAGTAATAGAGTTTAGAAGGTAATTGATTAATAAAATCAATTAACAAAAACAGAGATCAAGTTTATCTTGTACTATTACTTGAATAATACTTTGTACACCAAAACAACAGTTTAGGGATTAACAAAAACATATAGCTACCAAAAGCTATTCATTTGTAAATAATTTAATTAACAACTTTATATGTAGTAATCAATTAAAAAAAATTGGAGTCGGAACTCACTTTTTGGAAAAACAATGGAAAATATTAGAAATTATCGATTGTTTTTTAAACTTTACAAGATCAAAAGAGACAACATCGATTACGGACAAGAAAGAATAGGAAAGTGTTGAATTAGTAATTGAAAATCTTAAATCGCTAAATAAATGAAATTCGTTAAAAAATAGTCCAGAAAATAACCAAAACAACAAAAAAAAAAAATAAAAGAAAAAACAGAAAAAAACAAAAAATAAGACAGAAAACAAAAATTAAGACAGAAAAAAAAAAAAAAAAAAAGAGAAGAACCAAAAGAAAACAAAAAACCAAAGAAAAAAAAACAACCTCAAAAATAGAAAAAATATAATTCCAAGACAAAAAAATACAAAAGAACAAAAAAACAAGGAAAAAGCAAAAAACAAGAAAAAAGCAAAAAACAAGAAAAAAAAAAGATAATTTTAAGATCCACACTCCTTTGCATAATTCTAGATTTATTTCATATGCATAATAATACATAACGCAAACTAAGATAAAAATACCCTACCCCAACAGTACACATATTAATCTGTACTTACATTTTTCAATATTAAGTCTTTTTTTCTCTCTCTCCGCCACGCCAGTCAAAATCTCCGTATACTCGTTAGAAATGTCAGTCCTGGAAGCCAACGCTTTGATGGGATTATTGGAAGCTCCTCTGCGTTTTTGTGCTCTCACGTTTTTCTTTATAACCAACAAAGACTGTCGCTGAACGGCGTCAAAATCGTCCAGCGAGAAATCCGTTCGATCCTTGTTGTCGATTTCCTCGTAACTTTTGAAAAATTTCCTAATCGTGACGTCGTCGGGATTCAGCACCGTCACGGATTTTTTCGTTATTTTAGTCGAACCGTCCGAGTCTGGAAAGTACACGTAACAATCAACAGACTGCGTTTGATACATCAAATGTCACACATTTTACGTTAAATGTCACAAATTTTACGTCAAAAGTCAAAAATATCATGTCTGATGTCAAAAATATGTCAGATGTCAAAAAGATCATGTTAGATATCAAAAATATCATGTCAGATGTCAAAAATGTTACTTCAAAAGTCAAAATATCATTTTAAATGTCAAATGTGTCACAAAACGTCGAAAATATCACTTTAAATGTCAAAAATAAAACGGAATATATCGAAAAAAGTTGTTTAAACTTACCTGGCGAATTAAAATTAAACCTTGTAGAAAACGACAGAGAATGACTTCTAATCAAATCGCAGCTGTTCTTTTCTGGAGACGTAGATACAGACCCAGACCCTGGAATAAAGAAAAAGAACTCATAACTTTACATTCATAAAAAAATAATTTACAGTACCTTCTTTTAGTTTGAATGTCTTCTGTTGCGGTATTTTTTTATCCGCGCTGTTGACGGCCGGTAAATTGATGGTGGGAACGGCGTCGTTGACTTTGTTGTTCATTTTTCCGGCTACCGAAAATTTTACGGCGTCAGATTTTTCCACCCTAGATTTCCAATGTTTGGAAGCCGCGTCCAGTTCGACCTTTTTGGCTGACAGCAAAGATTTTTCCGAAATTTCATCCTAAAAAATAAGCGTTAAATATATTATAGCAATCTCTATTTTGGAAACTACAGATTTCATTGATTGTCGGAATAGTGAAGGGCCTGTTGACTCGGGGTACCTTGGATGTTGAGAAATTAAGTCTAACAGTTTTTAAACTTATGTTTACTGAAAGGTTAAATAAGTGAAAAATAATAGAAAATTTTATTTGTGGAATATCAATAAAAACATTGAGATTTGTGCCGAAAACTGTCTTTTCGGAACTTTTTCAATTATAGTTTAGAAGGTTATGGGTTAATAAAATCAATTACCAAAAACATAGATCAAGTTTATCTTTCCCTATTATGTATTTTAATAATACTCTGTATAGCAAATTCACACTTTAGGGATTAACAAAAACATACAGCTAACACAGGCTATTTATTCATAAATATTTTTAATCACAATTCGATATGTAGTAATCAATTTATTGCGCAACTAAAAAAAATCGCAGTCGAAACTCACTATTTGGAAAAACATTGGAAAATATTAGAAATTATCGAAATTTTTTCAACCATATGGCAAGGTTTTCAATTTTTTTTATTAACAATTATTAAATACTAAAAATTATACATATAAAGGCACTAAAAAATTTATACAAGCGACACAAAATAAAATAAAAAAGGAAAGATTTAAATCAAAACTATTTTTAATTATTAATTCTGCACAAGGGTTAAAATATCAATAACAAAATTGAGATTTGAGCAGAAAATTTACTCTTTGAAACGTTAGAAAATATTGATAATAATCGAAACTTTCTCACCTAGAGTTTAAACGTTAATAAAATAAATAAACAGAAACAGACCAAGTTTATTATGCACTATTATTTGAATAACACCCTGTATAACAAGGTGAATAAATGTTTTTATTAAAATTCTATCTGTAGTCCCCAATTTAACATGCTTAACAAAAAAAAATCGGAACCGGAACACACTCTTTGGAAAAACATTAGAAAATATAAGAAATTATTGAATTTTTTTTCAACTCTACAGCAGGGTTAGGGTTAAGGGATTAAATAATTAAGATTTTAACATGAAAAATATGGTACAAATAAAAATTGGGTTTAAAATTTTATATATTATTAATTTATTTTACCTATACTGCCAATATGATATAAAAAAAAATAATATTAAAGTATTATATTTATATTTTAAATATCACATACAAGCATCCCTAATATTTCAATAATTATTTTTTTCTACACCCGTATTATAATAATGCACTTATATGCCCATAATCCGTTTCATAATGATACCCATTATGATACAGATTTTTAATCAATAGAAACCTACTATTTTTCAATCAAGCATGCTGTTTGACGTTTGTCCTAGGTTTCTATGTAATTGTTTTAGTTGTCAAAACGTATTAAATTTTCGTAGATAGCTAAACTTCGATAATTATAATATTAAAATGTCTGATATTAGCGATATAGAAGACTCCTCCACACATATCGGAGAAAGCAGAAAATACAGTACAAAATATTTTGCAGCAAAAATCTAGGGAAATACCAATACCCGAAGTAATACCATTAATTACAATTTTGTAGAATTTTTTATAGAAATACGAGTAATTACTGTTATTGTGTTCAATACCAATATAAATATAATATTTATAGGTCTTGATTATTTATCGGGTGTAGAAAAAATAGCGTATGCAACTCTCATGTAATGGTTATTAAAACACTCGCATAGACCATACGAAACTCGCCTTTGGCTCGTTTCGTATCCCGGTTAATGCTCGTGTATTAATAACCGTCATTACATGATCGTTGCATAATATACTATTTTCTACACCCGTATTATAATAATGCACTTATATGCCCATAATCCGTTTCATAATTATACCCATTATGATACAGATTTTTCATTACGATACAGATTTTTAATCAATAATAACCTACAATTTTTCAATCAAGCATGCTGTTTGACGTTTGTCCTAGGTTCCTATGTAATTATTTTAGTTGTCAAAACGTATTAAATTTTCGTAGGTAGCTAAACTTCGATAATTATAATATTAAAATGTCTGATATTAGCGATATAGAAGACTCCTCCACACATATCGGAGAAAGCAGAAAATACAGTACAAAATATTTTACCGCAAAAATCTAGGGAAATACCAATACCTGAAGTAATACCATTAATTACAATTTTGTAGAATTTTTTATAGAAATACGAGTAATTACTGTTATTGTGTTCAATACCAATATAAATATAATATTTATAGGTCTTGATTATTTATCGGGTGTAGAAAAAATAGCGTATGCAACTCTCATGTAATGGTTATTAAAACACTCGCATAAACCATACGAAACTCGCCTTTGGCTCGTTTCGTATCCCGGTTAATGCTCGTGTATTAATAACCATCATTACATGATCGTTGCATAATATACTATTTTATTTACTTTGTTTTTTTTTTAAAACGTTATATTAGTAATTAAATAAGAAGATTTTTTTTTAATTAAACAATTCTTACGTTGTTTCTGTTTTTTTCCTTCAGCATTTTGAGTTCGTCACTAGCATTGTTGTGTAGGGAGACCCTCTTCCGCCATTCCGATTCGCCTTGTATTTTGAGCTTGGCTCTGAGATCGGCGATGGCTTGAGGCATGTTGTTCTGAGTATCGCTACGTTTGGTTCTGAGCTGCGATTTGAATTCATTACCTAACGATTCTTGGCTTTTGCTTTTCGATATGACGCCCTCTAGCGATAGTCTGTAATAAAACAAATGTAAAAGAATTAGCGATGATTTTTGAACGACCTTTAATGAATCTTAGAATAGAACTCGTATTTAAATTTGAAAGTAGGATTAAAAAGGTAGAAGGCATAAATATTGTTTATACATGAGTATAGAGAAATATAAACCTCACTTATTTTTGGTAGTAAATAAGATGAAAGCAATATAGATAAAAAAATAGTCCAAAATTTTTTTCTATTTCAAAAAAATCTCGAAAACTGGTTAAATTACGGAAAACAATCGTTTTGAATTAGAAGTTTTAAGTAATGACGCTAAATAGGTGTAAGTTAATATAAATTCATTATAAAATAGATAAAAAAAAGCAAGATAGACAAAAAATAGTTTTGTTTTTTTTTCGATTTATAGCCTATGTGTGTGTACCTAATATGCCAGTCTCAGTTTTGTGTTTAAATTCTCAATCATGTGTTCTGTGTAGGCTTTGTTACTGTTTCCCAGCGCCACTTTAGGAACAGCACTGCTAATTAGAACCCAACAGTGAATGGTCGAGTGGGGAATCCTACCAAGGCATCAGAATTAATTTTAAATAATTAAATTAAATGAAACAATCCCGGCCAGCGGTGGGATTCGAACCTGAGACCCTTGGATCCACAGGCAGACTCTACCACTGAGCCGTTTCGAAAAATCTCGAAAACTGGTTAAATTACGAAAAAGAATCCCACGATTAATGTATTCATAATTAACTATATTTTGACAGGAAATGATAAAGATATGAAACCAATAATGATTAATTATTATATTATTTATCTTCTTTGATCTATTTTTGTAAATTGATAAGTTTTATTTATATTCTTAGTTGATTGAGTTTCAAGTGATTCTATATTATAATATTACATGAAAATCTAGCGATTTATTTTGACGAAAACACAGTATAAATAAATATCGTGAAATATTGTAATATTTCAATTACATTGGAAAGTTATTTTTTTTATATTTGTTTTATCTTTATTACCGCACAGTTATTGTTGATTATTTTTAATGTAATTGAAATACCGATACAGCGTCATTTTGTAAATATACGGTCGAGGAATATTTATACAAGTCATTTTTAGTGTTGTAGTAATAGTTGACTATTTATAGATACTTTAGGGAAGAAAAAGGGTTGGGAACAACCGATTCAGTTCTGGGTAGCTATTCTTAAATTCAAGGGAGTAGAAAACCTGTTTTTTCTCATTGTATTTTTGTCTCATTCTACTCCTCAAGATTCAAGAATAGGTAACCAACCAGGGAGCAAGAAATATTGCAGAAATTTTATATATCGAGAACCTGTGAAGATTTTATTAAAAAAATATGATCTTATTATCTATAATTAACGCTCTTACATTAAATTTCTACGGGTATTGGTATGATTCCTGCATTTAATGTGTATTTTGCGTAGACGTTTATCAAAATTGTCTTCCAGAAGCTGCTGAACTTTATTAGTAGAGTGTATGCATTAAAATATTCGTTCTAGAAAACGATTTACCTCCCACTTGTTTGTCACAAACTGAATTTTTCAGAGATGACAGGTCATGATAAGGTAACCCTTATTCCGGAGGTAATATAAAATTAGACTGTGCAGAAGGGCACTATTATCAAAAATCCAGATATTGATACCACCGAATAGAGAAAAAATACTAATTTTTTGGTCCAATGCACAATAAAAATCTTTGTAGGGAGTAATTTTTTATACTTATTAAAAAAAAAATCATTTGCATTAGCCCTTACGGCCGAAAAAAAATATAAACGTAAATATCTCGGTTTCAGCTCTTCAAAAATTTGGATAAAAAGTCGTCTTTTATAAATATACCACTCATTTAACAAAAAACGAAGGCCTAAATAAAAAAAAATCTTTATAAAATTTTTGTTTGTGTTGACAAGGTAACAGAGTAAACACCACATTTTTTTGGTTTTGGAATTAACAAAGATATAACAATAAACGATGAGAGATGTCATAGGTTTACGCTGTAATTAATTCTCACCGCCAATTTCATCGACTCTCAGTGTATTTTTCTCTTCGCCTTAAAACGTAGCATAGCTCTGTTTCTCTCTACGTGCCGGCGTATCACATTATTGATATGGTAGGATTTTTTCATTTTTTTGTTATAAAACTTCTCGTTAGGTGCCAATGGGCAATGTGTCATATTGTTATTGTTTTTACTAAAGAATTAATAAGTGTATGTGTTATATATTAAATTGCCTAATAAATTGGGAAGAAATATAGACATTTTTGCATCTTTATTATATCTACATTCATCCTGTTGCAGCTGAATAGAGAAATAATCAATCAGTTACGCGTCAAAAATAATATGTGGAAAAAATACAAACGAGAAATTGATTTAGAAGCCTTTGAAGACTTCAAACGCATAAGAGCTGCTTTAAAATTAGAAATAGACATTTCTTACAGAGCATACAGTATGGTTCAAATGAAAGGAATAAATTCATTATAATGGAAGTAGTTAGTTTTTTGAAAAAATGCTCGGACAGGTCAATTTTGTTTACTTAAAGCGCAATTTTTTAAATAAAATTCAATTTTCCCCCACTTCCCATTTGTGGGCAGTGACGTCATTGACAATTTTTTTAAATAGCAACCCCAATTTTTTTTTCTTGATTTTGATAGATCTTGCAATTTCCTACTCGGAAACATAATATTTGAAATATCTGACATAACAATTTTTTTTGAAAAAAAGTCATTTAAAGATCAGATACATAAATTTTATGTTATTTTAAAACACAATAAATTAATAAAAGATAATTATTTGTAATTAAGTGCTTAATCTAAAAAAATAATAATAATAATAATAATAATAATAAAAAGAATTTAATGACAATTTCACAAATTCTTTCTATTATTATTATTATTTTTATTATTATTTTGTTAGATTAAGCATTTAATTACAAATAATTATCTTTTTCTACACCCGTATTATAATAATGCACTTATATGCCCATAATCCGTTTCATAATGATACCCATTATGATACAGATTTTTCATTACGATACAGATTTTTAATCAATAGAAACCTACAATTTTTCAATCAAGCATGCTGTTTGACGTTTGTCCTAGGTTCCTATGTAATTATTTTAGTTGTCAAAACGTATTAAATTTTCGTAGGTAGCTAAACTTCGATAATTATAATATTAAAATGTCTGATATTAGCGATATAGAAGACTCCTCCACACATATCGGAGAAAGCAGAAAATACAGTACAAAATATTTTACCGCAAAAATCTAGGGAAATACCAATACCTGAAGTAATACCATTAATTACAATTTTGTAGAATTTTTTATAGAAATACGAGTAATTACTGTTATTGTGTTCAATACCAATATAAATATAATATTTATAGGTCTTGATTATTTATCGGGTGTAGAAAAAATAGCGTATGCAACTCTCATGTAATGGTTATTAAAACACTCGCATAAACCATACGAAACTCGCCTTTGGCTCGTTTCGTATCCCGGTTAATGCTCGTGTATTAATAACCATCATTACATGATCGTTGCATAATATACTATTTATTCATTTATTGTGTTCTCAAAATAAAATAAAATTTATGTATCTGATCTTTAAATGTCTTCTATTCAAAAAAAATGTTATGTAAGATATTTCTAATATTATGTTTCCGAGTAGGAAATTGCAAGATCTATCAAAATCAAGAAAAAAAATTGAGGTTACCATTTAAAAAAATTGTCAATAACGTCACTGCCCAAAAATGGGAAGTGGGGGAAAATTGAATTCTATTTAAAAAATTGCGCTTTGAGTAATCAAAATTGACCTGTCCGAGCATTTTTTCGAAAAACCAGCTACTTCCATTATAATGAATTTATTCCTTTCATTTGAACCATACTGTATATTAAAAAGACTGAACAAGAGATATCTAGTAATCCAAGTAAATTTTGGGCATTTATAAATAGTAAGAAATCATAATCCAAATCCCCTCAAATAATGTCTTATGACAACAAATCACTAAAAACTCCATTAGATATTCTCAATGGATTTGCGGACTTCTTCAAACAGTCATATATTACCTCTAGCTTGTTTATTGCTAATTAAAATGCACGACTCAATGTTCCGTTCCTTAATGTCAATAGTTTTACCGAAAAAGAGGTATATTAAGCTCTAAAGTCTATTAAACCTAAAAAGACGACTGGTCCAGACCATATTCCAGCTTTTATTTTAAAGGATTGTGCCCTTCAACAGTTCCAAATATTTGGAAGACCTCAAAAGTATGTCCAGTTTTCAAAAAGGGGGATAAACGAGATATAATCAATTACAGACCAATATCCATATTATGCAATTTCTCCAAAATATTTGAAATTTTATTGGAGAACACCTTATATCATTATGTTAGTAGAATGCCATCAGTCAATCAACATGGGTTTATGAAAGGTAGCTCAACAGTCACCAACCTGGTTACCGTCACACAATAGGGACCGTGCGTCATGACTTTAACGCTAACTGGTGACAAAAATGTAAACTTTTTGGGGGGTATTTATTAATGTTTTATACGGCATTTATTGTTTAATAATTATTAATAAAATGAAGTCGAATTATTTTCGTAATATCAATATCGAAAAAACTTGTTGCATCCGTGGATGTACAAACACATCACTTTAGAAACCTGGATTTCATTCGATAGTAAAGAAATTTTATAAATTTCCACAGAGCACAATTATGCCTCACACCCAATGATATACATAATTACAAAGATTGCTTATCCATATGTAAATCAGACGACGAAAAGCGTATTTCACTGGGCAAAGTTTTCTTTTTATTTAGCTTGTATCAATTTTGAGCACTTAGTTGTAAAGAAATCATTTACAGAAAAATTAGAATCTTTAGTGTTTTCTTGTCATTAAGATTTTTACATATTTAAATGACCATTTTATATAAATATAATTTCACAGATAATGGTTTATTCTGTTGATTAAAACTAATGTAGAATGTTATGAAATAAGAATATCCAATTTGACAA